AGTGTACCTCTGGTGCAAATTACTGACCTCTGTCATCATTTTAAGTGGGGGAACTTGCACAATCGGTGGCTGACTAAATACTTTTTTGCCCCACTGTACTTCTTCTTTGACATGACTGTAAGCCCAATGTCCCAACTTTTCAAGTGAAGTCCCACCATCTTTTTTAGATAAAAAATGAAATAAAAAAATAAAACCCCAGTGTGGCAAAGATACCCACCCTGTGAAATGTCCTTCTTGAAGACAACAATGGCAAAAATGGTGCAGAAGTGAAGTTGTTTTGCAGCTTGAAAATTTACCTGATGTTTAATTTTTGCACCTCAATTTTTAAAAAATATTTCAAAAACAAAGGTCAAATTATTTTGTTGCATGGATGATCAGTCTGCTCGCAGTTTACAAATCACTTCCAGGATAAACACAGTAAACATGCAAAGGATGACCTGAAACACAATGAAAGGAAAAAAGATGGTTTTCTTCACATGCATAATGAATCCAGTCTCAACAAGTGAATATTTTAGCTGACCTAAAATAAAAACAAAATGATTTATTTCCTTGTTCAATCAGACATTTTTAGGACGGCCTATGTTGTGAAGACATGAAGTATAAAAACATGTGCGATTAGTTCCAGCTAGGCCAGCTTCTAATGTAACCCTGCAGTCTATCAGCAGAAATATGAAGTCTATTAATAAATGAAAGGTGTTTTTCATCATAGACTGTCACGACTTGTGTTTTTAGCTAATCTTTGAGCTTAACGAGAACAAGTATGGTTTTCTTGTGACTACGTGCACATAGTTATTGTTATCCAGGTTGATGGTCTTCTCTCAGACTTGTTCCTTGTGTTATTATCCCCTGGGTCACAGGTTGCCTTGACAAATAACACAAAGCCAGTGTATATACAAAAGCTACAGGAATCTCCACCCAAACTGGTACAAGGTAAAATTATGGTTCACTGCATTTCCTCATTGCTCAATGCATGTCTAACAAATACAATCTATTACTTATTTACTTGTTCGTCTGTGGCTAACGCCTTCAGTTAATACAGCATTGATGCGAACTGCCCAGAAGGAAAGAATGGTAAAAAACACAATTACTGATTTTTATGCTTAGTTTTCAATGAAGATTTTCATTTTTTATCAATAAAAAAATAAATCTGCCCCAAGTTTCGCAGGAAGTTTGTATTGTAATGCTGCGGGTCAATAAATGAAACAAAAAGACAGATCCCGTAAATGCTTTAAAGCCTTTTATATATGAACTGCCTGAATGAGGCAACACTGAAATTGCTCCCAACCCAGCACAGTCTGACTTTCATTTATGAAAAGAAATAAGAAGAAAAAAAAAGTTAGTGTGCTTGTCTCTGATGGCTAAACCTGAAAGTGATAAATGAAAACCAAAACATGCAAGGTTCATATCTACATACAGGCCATTTTTTGCATAGCATTCCCTCTCCTATCTCCTTTAATTTATTTAAATTATTTCCATTGATTGGGATGCAGCAGGTCTGTGTTGAGCAGAATGAAATATAAAGTGCACAAAAGCCAAATGCAACGTGCTCAGATAAGACTGCAAAGTCAGCTCAGGAGATTAATATGAATAAAAAACATCATTATGTTTGATGACAGAAAGCATTTAAATAAAACTG